TGAACTTCGAAGATCTGCAAGAAGGCAACAATTTATTATTAAAGTAAGTCCCTGGCGGTTTTATAAGCGGCGAGAAGAAGTCCTCAACCAAAAATCGCCAAAAGTTATAAATCGCTTCGTCTTCAATTATCTTGCCGTTGATATGGCGGGTCAAACAGCAGATAACAAGCACACAGGCAGCATCATTTTTCCTCTCTTTCTTCTGGCGAGTAAAACCGACAAGCCGTTGGGACATGATACTTTTCAGAACCATCTGCTGACAGGCCTTTTCATTCATACAATTCTTTAACTGCTTTTTGTTATTCTCCTTTTAAGCTGAAATTGATGCCTTCTAAGGATGAATTCCCGTAGAGAAATTTCATCACGCTTTACTAACGACATACGGTTTAGTTACTCAAATGGCGTGATGTTGATTTCAACCAATCGGAAAAAGGTATTAAGTCGAAGATTGACATTTAATTAATTCTTATCAAACACTATTTTCACACTCAGAATCTGAGCGTGAAATATGGAGAAAACAATGGTGTCCTTGCAGGCGTTCCTTTCCTTTCTCCCTAGCGCGCCCAAATTCCCCCTTCCCTTTCCCCTTTTAACGCCTGCAAAGCAGGATATGTAGAACCCCTTGAGACCCCCAGTGTAACTCGAACTCGGATAGCTTGAACTCACTGCTAACTGAAACTATTTCCCTTGGATTTTTCAGTCACTTTTACTCGGTTAACTCGACTTTGGATAACTCGAATGTTTCGCTAACTCGAACTAAATTTCGTTTACCTTGATCCAAATTTACCCCGATAACTCGAATTCTGGCTATATATAGGTCACCAGGGATGCTATCCCATTAGCTCTTTTCTCAGTCTTGCAGTAAGTAAAAAACCTAAAACCGGTACTCTCCTATAATTTTATTTTAACTATGGCAAAGAACGCATCAAGTGTTTGACGGTCATTTCTCAAACTTATGATTTATACCATCAGAATAATGTAGAATCAGGAGCATGATCATGTTACAACGGATGGGATACTGCTGATGTGCTGCAAAATCAGTTAACTGACTCAACTATCAGTTCTTAGCATCGCAAACTGAATGATTATTTAATCGACCCCACTCACGCGCTAACTCAAACTGCTCTTCCTTCAAAACTCGAGTTACTGGGATTCTACTCTACTTTCAGCAGTTTTTCCAAAATATAGTTACCACGTGCAAGTAGAACTTTTTAGGTACATTGTATTATAATTTTATTCCAGCTATCAGGATCTCTTTCACTGCCGGTTACCTCGTCGGCTTCGTGTTGTGTAAACCAAGTAGATTTATAAAAATTTTGCTCACTTTACTGTGACTTAATATCTGAAAAATGTTCTCTGCAATAACAGAGCTGCAGGATGTCCTCAAGAAACTTCCTGTTCTTACTGCACAATACCAGGTTTCGCCGAATTACTGTGACGCAGCAGGCTATAACTGGATACTAGAAATTATCCCTCGAAATGGGCAGTCGGACAATCCGTTCCGGTGTGATCAGGTCAACGAAACAGATGAAGACGTATCTCACAAAAACAACTAGAAGCTGTAGAACCCCAGAAACTCGAACTCTCAAGGGAAACGAAAGTTACCGGGGTTCAACTGTACTTTCAATTTTTGCTTTTCTCTCCCTCCCGTTTCATACAGTAGGGACGTTACGAAACTACGACGGCGACGGCAACAAGAAAGTTTAAAGCCCAATGGGTTTTATGAGCAAAACTGAACAATTCTACACTTGCATCACGCTTTTTTTGGTACATTTCTTTGCTATCCCTGATCAACTATACATATACGACGTAAAATTACCAAATTGTAGGTTGACTTGAGAACGGGAACGGAACTCGGACGCAGTCCCCTCTCTTTAGTTCCAACCTTACTTCCCTACTTTCAAGTAACTGGGTGACGTGGCATAAGGGAAAAAAGAAAGGATGTGAAGTCGATTTTTCAGCTACGTTTTCATCGGCGTCGCCGTTGTCGGATCGTACGTAAGTTCCCTAGTATTTATCCTGAGTGCCAGAGGTTTTTTTTTTTTTTTTTTCTCTAAATTCCAGATTGCGGCGAAGCCTTGAGGTTCAACTTAGCACTCGAGTCATATCTCATGCTAAATAATATAGTTTTTGACGTTCTCGTTGCCGTCGCCGTCGTCGGATCTTAAGGTCCCTTTAGTAGTGAACTCGTGATACACATCTTAAAGTTCGTGATGGATGTTACACTTCTATTAGAGGCTTCAAATAGTCTACAGACTGGACTATTAGAGTCTTTTAGGTTAAGAGGAGAATCTTATCTTCAGTCATCTTCTCAACTGGTAGCCAGTGCAAGTATTTCAGTGTATTTAGTGTCAATTTTAGTCACAGCAATGCTAAATGTAATACTTTCACCAAAAGATGATTGCCTTGTAAACTGCGATGTGAAATTTAGCACCTCAGCTTTTCCAGGATTATACTCTTGGGCATGTTCTCACTTTATATGAAATAATACACTCGAAACATTGCCGAAGGGTACCGTCTGAAAGATGGAGCATTACAAGTGCTCAAATAAAAATTTTTTTAAAATGACATTTGTTACTGTTACCATAAGCAGGGCAGTCTCTGCGAGGTGATATTGTCTATAGGGTGATCGAAGATTGGGAAAAAGGCCCTGTTGACCAAGATAGCTGAATGCATATACTTGAACAGTTGCCGCAGATTTCTCGATTTCTTTACTGAGGAAAAGGAATTTAAGATTGCCCCAGTTTTATTTTAAAAGTCTCTGTATCGCTTCTATTACTTATCATGCTTGATTGTTGGGCTTTACTTTCCGTACGCAGCCGGATTAAGTTTTTGGGTTTGCCCACGACCTTTCGCTCGGCAGGCCGGCGCTTTTCCAACTCAGCTAACCAGGCGTTTAACAGGAGCTTAAGAAAAGACATTTTTGAGCGACGCACGTCAACCGAAAGTGAGGCCTTCTCACTATATATATATGCCTTGACTCTAACAAAATTGTATCGTTAAGTTCTTTTTTCTCTTATAAAGAGGATTTACCCGAGAGTTTGAACCAAACCACTGCCCAATGATGCAAAAAGTCCACTTCCGGTTGACATCCGTCGCCTCAAAACGCTGTTGCTTAAGCTCCCTACGTCAGCCGGAAGTGATGCCTTTTCCTTTTTGTTATACATTGACGCTACTAAATTTGTATCGCTTAGTATCTTTAACTTAGTAAAAACGACCTGCCCGAAACTTTAGCAAAACCACTTGCCATTAACGCAAAAAGTCCATTTCCGGTTGACGTGGGTCACTCATTGAAATGCCTTCGCTTAAGTTCCCACTCGCATGCGTTCATTTGAAACCAAACGCGCGCCGTTGCAAATCCGTGAAAGTTCAGTTACTAAATCGGAAAAGAATTTAATGGGGTGTAATTTTTCAAATTTAATTTCCGTTATAACACCTGTACAGGGTCAGGTTTTAAAAATCCTCCTCTCACCTATCCTTAACTTATATAATTTTGTTAAGAGAATGTTTGCCTTGCTTAAACGGACCCTTAAAGGTGTTTCTTAGTGATCCACCAGGAACCAGGAAGTAGTTTTTATTTGCTAATCGAAGGAGGAATTTAATAAATTAAATTTCTAAGATGTTACTTGTTTTAAGTTCCTCGCTAAAGATTTGCCGAGGAAAGAAACCTTCTCCATTGTACACAGATGCATTGTCAGCTGATTGTAGGTTGTTGAAAATCAAATTCTATCAATTGAAAGAGCATAATTATGAAGCTCATGATATAGGGTATTCTCACGCCGGAATTGCTGCCTCCTAATGTCATGCTCTCTCTCAGTCTTTAGTAAAATCCAACAAGTGGTCTATTATCAATGCTGCGTTCTGTTTGGTTGAGCTATTACTAGGCTATATGTCATAGCCTACTAGTAGCAAAAAGCTGGGGCTCAGTTGCTGAATTGCGAAAAGTAAACAGTGAATTCAATGAGGTGTAATTTTTCAAATTTAATTTCCCTTATAACACATGCACAAGGTCAGGTTTTAAAAATCCTCCTCTCACCTATCTTTAACTTAGATGGTTTTGTTCTGAGAATGTTTGCCTTGCTTAAACGGACCCTTAAAGGTGTTTCTTAGTGATCCACCAGGAACCAGGAAGTAGTTTTTATTTGTTAATCGAAAGAGGAATTTAATGAATTAAATTTCTAAGATGTTACTTGTTTTAAGTTCCCCGCTAAAGATTTGCCGAGGAAAGAAACCTTCTCCATTGTACACAGATACATTGTCAGCTGGTTGTAGGTTGTTGAAAATCAAATTCCATCAAATGAAAGAGCATAATTATGAAGCTCATGATATGGGGTATTCCCACGCCGAAATTAATGCTATCCTAATTTCATGCTCTCTCTCAGTCTATATACTGTTTTCTCTGATTTTTTCATTAAACCACGTCAATGACTCGGAAAGGTTTGCTTGACTTATTTTCATGGTCATTATCCCTCAGGACCTTTGTTGACTCTTTGTTGTTGTTTAATATTTAAGCTCAATTTTATTGGTACATAAGCAATATTCACTAAAGACAAAACGATTTTGTTAAACAGACTTTGTTATTTCCGAGAACAATAAAAATTACAGGTCTCCATTTAAACTACCATTTTATGAATTTAATTATTGCACAACTTTGGGAGTATAAAGTACAGAAAATGACAACTATTCTGCATTTAAAAAATCCTGTTTTTTTACATTTCTTTTGTTGTTTTTAGTTTTTTTTTTCGTATTAAAATGATTCAGTCTTGAAGGTGTCGATTTTGCTAGGACGTATCACAAATACAAAAATCGATGTTTACCATGAGCTTATATTACACTTATAATAATGACTAACTTTCGGGTGGCTTCACATTACAAAGTTCAGTCAAGTTTCATGCAATTAAAAGTATGAATATTACTATGTTCGTTACAGGAAATAATTTGTTTTACAATTTTCTACTAAAGACTGACTGCTTGGCTGCTCCAGAACAAAGTTTCCCTTTTTATCCGTTAGTTTGTCTTATAACCTTTGGGATAAGGCTATTCAAAAATTTCAATTCTTTTGCCCTATACTTCTGCTTTTCCTTGGGCTTCACGTCAAGGGCCAGGTAGGATCGCTTTACTTTGGAAAACTTTGGCCACGTTACAGGAGAATCGGAGCCATTAGGATCCCTGAAAACGAAGCAAAATCAGAAAATGAGGAGCTTGATGATAACCAAGATTTTACAATCATACACAAAATACAAAAACAACAACAACAACAACAAAAAACAAAAACAAAAAAGCAAATTAGTTGCCACTCTCTTCCCTAGAGGACTGCACTTTTTAAAGCGTAAAAGCGCTCGCAGTTTTGCTGTCTATTATTTATTACAGTTCTAAACTTATTTTTTCCACATTTAAAAACTAAGAACTCTGATGGATATTTATATATTTTAATGCACGGCTTTAGTGTAAACTAGCGTCTGTAGCCGATAATACCTGACCATGGGTAAATAAAATGTCTTTCTATCTATCCATGTATCTTTCTTGAAAGCTAGTCAAATCGCAAAGTGTATGGTTTAACCCTCTCTCTTTAATTACAATAAACACCCCATAAGAACATGTGGATTAAGGACCTTCTAGTCGAAATTTGCTACTTTAAAACCCCAAAATACAACAACCTGTTTAGACAAGCAAGGTCAAGCAGGTTCTCATGTGGGTTACCGTTAAATTTTAATATATAATTTATAACGCTACAAAGGAATGCAACTTTTAGTTGTAAATTTAAAAGTATAACAAAAACACACTGTACTAAACTGAATATCTGAATTCTGCAATCAGTTTTGTTAGGGTTTTTTGGTGGTGAAAAATCTTAGACTATCATCTCTTTCATAGAACCTAATTATGAACCTTCTTAGCTAAATTGCCACTTTAAGTACCCAAAATACAAAAACCTAGCTATTTTGCCAGACTCCTCAAAAAGTAGGTTCTTATTAGCGGGTGTTTACTGTAGTACTTGGTCTTAGGTCTTACCCAAACTTAGCAAAGTCAGTCCACAGTCTCATAATGTACAAACTCAGCCCCTTCTCAATTTCAGAATATTTGGGAATGAAAAATTCCATCAGCGATGAAATATTCGCGAAAGGTGCTCCAAACACAAAACCAATGTCAGCTCCGTGAAATGCGCCAGCCCACTCAGGAAGTTTCGAAAAATCCGGACGATGCTCAAATACGTAAAAGTACACTTGTCTTCCAGCCTAGGGAAAGTAAAGTTGGAAAAAAGAAACGATGCATTTATTAGTGCCCCGCATGGTTGAGTACATCTTGGCAGGACCAAGTAAGGGCTGATTAATGATGTAGTCGGTCATTTTGCATTTGCCTACTTCTTGATTTACCTAGTGTTTAAAAGTGGTGAATGGGTGAAATGAATTTTATACGGGAGGCTCCGCCCGGGGGTCCAACCCCTTACCCCTTTATAGCGGAGCTCCACGCGCGCGCGTGGACGGAGCCCCATAGCTAAGGAAATGTGGTAATCTACCCATCCGAGAAAATTTGGTAATCACGTGACGGTACGACCGTCCGTCCGCACCACAGGGAAACCAATGTTTACTCTCACACTTTCTAGCTAGTTTGGGAGCCCAATAGAAAACTAATTGCACCTCAATGTTGTGATCATTTGACAGGTGTCAAAACAGGGTATCCGCTGACCAGTATCACCTGACCGTACCGCGGGCTCAAGTGTCGACCCATCGAGGTCGAGTACTTTTTTGAAGTTATCTCCTGACAAATTACCAGTTTCAAATGACCGCAGGCTCAAGTCTATTTTTTCCAATGATTCATATCAAATATGTTGTGTTTATGTCACTATGGCCCCGCACTGTCAAGATTTTGATTTCAAACTGACCTCGGGCGCGAAAATCCAGCCACTTTTTTAAAAATAAAGGCGGGGAAGACTTTTCTTACCATGGTCACGCGTTGGTCACGCTCTACGTCCAATTTTTGTACTCTGATTGGTCAAAATTTGACAGGTGAGTTCATGCGGAAAATTTATGCAGCATCTTGAAAGTTGTTTACTTTGACAGCAAAAGCTGACAGAGTTTTGTGTCAACTTGTGATGTTTTTAACTGTCTTTTTCCACCGGATGTACAAAATGAAATACAGCTGCTATCAAGAGTATTCTGTTATCCATGGCTGGTTTGTTGATTGGGTTTTTGGTTGAGAAATGCGTCGCTTGTCAAAATTGGGTAATCCGATTTTGGATGGCATCGTTTTCGTCTTTCACTTTGCTCAATGCGTAAGAGGGTTTAAAAGTCTCAAGCAACTATGGCCTTCGTTGATATCTTTCAGGAACTGAATCACGAATGGTAAGCCTGAGTAATTATTGTATTTAATGTTTGTTTTTGTTATATCTAATTTCTTGAAGTCGAGCACAGTTTATGCAGCAAGTTTTTGTACGTTGTTTGAGATTTGAGTCAATGATCTGATCTAGTATCAGGTTTGATATAAGCTTACAGAACTTTAAAAGGCCTTCAGATATATTTTCTCACCGCAAATAGAAAAAAAACGGTTCCGAATAATATTTAGTTATAAATTTGGCTGTAGAAAGAAAACTTTGAGTGATTTCCTTGTTTCGAGGAGTTCATCTTTGAAAAAAAAAAACAAACACCAGGAGGCCGGCTGAAAGTAAAACAAAATAAACTTAAGCTTAAGCTTTAAGCTTAAAGACTCAGAATTTTTAGAAACACTTTAATACTTGTCTTCGTGAATGAAAATTGTTGTCTCTGTAAATGTTTTACCGAATTATATTTCTTTTGTTGATTGTTAGTAGTCTCTCTTGTAATTTTAATCGCTTGTCCGTGGTGTTTGTTTTCATCGTTCATGAACATCGCAGAAGTACTTAGAAATGTCGCGCGTATCAAACGCTTTATAAGATTACACATCGTTATAACTGTAACCATTAAACAACAAAAAATAATGATAATAAATTCGTTATTATGGTGAAGCGTATCTCCATTAAAATTCATTCAAACACGGGATCACACTGACAGCTCGCACTAAAAATGAGAACCGGCTGGCCGTATGGGTGATTTTAAAAATGTTTTGAACGGTTTCGCTAAAAGCCCACGATTGATCGTCCTGAATATTGAAAAATTGTGAAATGCCGTTTCTGTCCGAGGTCTGTATGATAAAAAGTACTGTTTCACCTCAGATGTGATGTATAAAAAGTATAAAAAGCTGGTTTGCACACCCTCAGATTTGTTGGCAAGAATTTGTAAAGTAAACCTGTCGAACGCAAAAAAATGCGGCCTGATTTGTTTTCCAAGAATTTGTTTTCGAGGCCTAATCTACTGTGATCAAGAGCCACTATGGCTCTTGAATGTGATAGAAGATGTTTGCTATTTTTTGGGTGTACATATATTTAGGCTATCAACTCGATGTAAGATGTTTCACTTTAAAAATAACTTATCCTTTCCCTGAAAAGTCACATGAATGTGCCCTTAAGTTAACTGATTTGTGGATTACAAGTTTATTGTTTGATTTAAAATATAAATTTATTAATGGGAGCTTCGCTTTTAGCCCTGGCTAAATCTATATATTATACTCTTTTGATAGAAAAGATACCCCTTTCGTATACCCGTTACTGACAAATAGTACCCCATTCACATAGTTTTGACCACTTTATCCCATTTAACTCCCAACCTGTGAATGCACAGTGTCTTTTAATTTAATGTGAGTAAATCACTAAACCAGACAGCTTTCTTGGCTCTTTCATAGCCACAAAATGCGTCTCAAAGCACTTTCAGGGCCTTTTTTTAGATCGAAATGACAGATTTCTGTATTGTTTCATATACTTCTACTAGTGAACCAACTACCCTTTTATATTCTGAAGCCTGAAAACAACTACCATGGGTACCAGAGGTTTTTTCTCGCGTGCGACGAGGAGCTGAGCTTTCGCCGGGTGTCTTCGGAGGCCTGAGCTGAGCTTTTCGCGCGGATAACTTATAAGACTTGACCGAAACCGGAAACCGCGCATGAAAAGTCTCTGGCACCCAGGGTAGAAAACAACAAATACAACAAAAAAAAAAACTCCCCTTTCGGGCAGAGCCTCCGGGTAAAGTCCGTTTTGATGAGTAACCCCCGTACTCATAACAAGTTTTGTGTGTGTATGCATGTCTTTTTTGTTGTAAATTACCTTCCTTAAAGCCTTTGCCTCAAAAAGCATTGGTGCCACCGTCATAAAGTCACTTTGAAAGTCAATCATTCTTTCTCTTGCTGTTGTGTCAGAATCATCTGCGTACTGGTACTGAACCAGCTGCTCCACGATTTTGTTTTGTGTGAGTCCTTCAAAGAGTGTTCCTGTCACATTTTTAAACTCTTCTTTCGAGACTTGGCCCGCATTCCCCAACCTCAGAAAGACGTCTAGAGATGACTCGTGGGTTGTAAATCCAGCCATGATTTGAACATTATCAAAAAATTTTTTCTTTTGATACCGCTTCTGAGGAGAGCCTATTATGAAATCATCATCAATGACTGGGTTGCTGAGTTCCATCAGGGCTTTGGTAGGGATATTAGATTGCAAAGAAATGATTTCCTCCGCACTTTTTTCACGAAGACACGTGATTAGGTTGTCGTCAAAAGAGCAGTTTGCAGCAGCAGCTAGCTTTTGTACTGACTCGTTTGATGCCTTTCTTGGTAGGTAGGGAGCTGACGCGGCACCGCTTTGCATGATGGCCCTTTGGAACAGAACTTTTGGTTTAGGCGAGATTAAATGCAAGGCAACACTACTTGCTCCTGTACCATGACCGAACACAGTCACTTTGTCGGGATCACCACCAAAGTAGGCAATATTGTCATGGACCCACGTCAGTGCTTGAATCTGTAGAGAAAATGTACGCTTAGTGTCAGCTACAGGGGGGAAAGGGTTAGTTTTATTTACCTAGAGTCTAACCCTTCTGTTGTGGTGGGATTTTTCGCTATTGTCTGTGAAAAAAGAAAGAGAAGTTAAATACCGTATTTATTGGAATAAGCGCCTATCCCACTCCCCCCCCCCAAAACTCAAATCAGGGACCACCCCTACCCCCTTTCCCCCTACCACCCTCGCAAAAAAATTGAACAATTACTAGAAGACGGAGCTTTCTTCAGAGTATTTTACAGAAACCTTGCTTCGTTACATCTTTGCGTTTTGTTGCAAAATAAACATACTACTCTTGCTGATAATGGTGAAAATTTAATAAGAGCCCAGCCTCGAATAAGCGTCCACTCGCAAGGTCCAAAAGGTTTGCAGATGGCCTCCTTTTGAAAACGAGAGATCAGGGCGGATCCCGGAGAGAGGGTGCACCACTGAGGAATGGCGTGACTGACTGGTGAAGTAAACAAATTTTAAAAGCGAAAACGAAGAAGATATCTTTTGACTAAGCGCTAACATAATGTGAAGTGCTAAGAATACATATCTCTAAATTTTCCAGAATACCAGTTGTCAGGAGCCCTCTCAGGTGGGAGAAGGGGTGCGCATCCCCTGCACCTTCCCACTAGATCCCGCCCTGGAGTTCAGGAACTCGGAAAGAGGAACATTGGGGAGAGTGGGGTGTGCTGATCAACAGAGCAAAAGAACGAGGGAAAGGGAAAGGGGGCAAGAGATTATCACAACCGTTGCGTATTCGGGGCTCGTGCGCTCCGAGAACACGTGCTTGCGTGCCTCCCAGGGGTGATAGGTTTGCTATTATTTTATTCTCTCTTGAGTCGATTTAATGCAACATTTCTTCACCGAAGCTTGTTACCTGATCAAACATTCCGTAATTTCCCGTTTTGTTTGTACCAGGAACACTACTTAAGAATCCCAGAATTCCTAGCCTGTAGTTGAATGTCACAACAATGACATCATTGTAGCCTGCTAAAACGTGAGCTGGATATTCACTGGAGGAACCCATGGAAAAGCCACGGAATTTAGGAGAGGAACTGAAACTGGCCAAACCAGTGCCATGAATCCACACCATCACTGTCATCTTGCCTTCTGTGCTACTAGTTGCTGGTACAAACACATTCAAGAAAAGACAATCCTCATTTTCTGGAAAAAAAAAAAACAAACAAAAACATCCATATCAGTAAGATAAGGCAACAGGAATTTCTGCTGTAAGGGAGTTACCGTCTCTTTTTGAGAAGCCCACACATGTCTCGTGTCTCTTCCTCAGTTGATGATGATGGTGATGATGATTATGAAGATGACGACAACGACGAAGATGATGATGATGATGATGATGATTCAAACAGGAAGTGCGTCACAAACCTGTTTTGACCCCCCTGGGAGCTACTCCCTTTCTACTGATACAAAGCCTACAACGTGAATTCGTTCTTTTGCAATTGCCAATAAATGGCTTTAAAACAAGACGGCGTGCATTTCCCCCTTTGTCCTAAACAGGATAATCAAATTGAGGGTGGTGTTTTAAAGGTATGTATTTTAAGAATTTTTTTGGTCCTACACAAGGGTCAAGTTTTTTGCTACGTTAAGTGAAAGGAACCAATATGACGAAGTGCGGAGTCAAGTGAAGGCATATCTTAAATGTTTTGAGTCCTGACTTGCAGTACTCTTTCCGTGGTTAACGTTCGTTGAATTCGTGGATGAAGCTTTGAGTTTTTGAATGTGCCATAGTCTAACATACAACCTTTTACCCGCTTTTGTTGATGCCTATAAGAACTCTTTTTTCCCCCGATGTATACTTATGCGGAAGAGTCTTCCATCTACTGCTGTTATCGCTCTCTCTTTGCCCGTGTTTAAGTCCACAGCCAAAACCTATCTGTCATCAACCACTATTGCCACGATAAGCCTATGCTATTCGCAATTAACCGATAAAGATTAAAGATAAAGATCGTCCGTGAGAGCTTTCAAAAGCTGGCTCGACACACATCCGATAATACAATACTGTTATACGCCTCTTACCTATTCCTATTTCCCTCTTAAAGTTATGTTTATCAAAGCTCGGTTGTGGACACGCCGATCCGAACTCCTTCGCTGCCCTTTTTCCTGACCAAGGTTGAAAGGATTCTGGACGAGCAAACCTCGATTCATTGACCGGTGGCTTAGCATACGGGATACCGAGATATTCATATACTGATTTGCCATTTGGTAGCGTCTCAAGCTTGCCAACAATTGTACCTGATGAGGTGTTTACCTCGGGATCGCTGCCACTGATCTGGAATTGAACGGTTTTTTTGTGATACAAAACATATTTAGAAAAATGGACAGAGAGAGGTGTCGACTAGCCTGACAGACAAATCATCGGACCCAGGGGACTCAAAGAGGTGAAAAAGGCGGAAAAATGTTAAAACTACTTACTTTAGGAGACTGAGTTGCTTGTGGGCCTAAAATTAACAATCATAGATTCATTAAGTTAGTTCTATCTCTACAAAGGACAGAATGAAAAAGGCATCTCAGTCTTGTAACCAGAAAAGGGTGCATGATTGCTGTTATTTTGGATTATATTTGTAACGAAAAATCAGCTTTTATTTACATCTAAAATCTCTTCTATCCGGGACTTTTTTATTAAAGAGCCACAGCATATACTATTTCTAATAAAAGTCATAAAAGAACTACAATCATACCCTCGCTTGCTCGCAACAGAGTTTGACTTTGTTAAGCCCAGCGGCAGTCTACGGTATTTTATAAGAATCTAGGTTTTAAAAATACCCAAAATAAAGAATATTTTAAGAATAAACCCGAGGCCGAAGGTAAGAAAAGGATATAATTTGTGTGTTGCACATCTTTAAACACAATACAACTCAACCGTGTAAAAATATACATTTCCTAAACGACAAAACTAGCTAAAACCTGCACTAGCTTTAGCAAAATGCTCAATGCTAATGACTTCGATGATCAACAGTATCATTATAATTCTGTGTATAATCTTACTTACACTCTGAAGAGTAAGTGATCTTGGCTTCAGATAGATGGACCTTGTTGTCAGTTGTGCTCACTTCACATACAAAGGTCACAGTGTGACCCGCTGTTTTCTGTGGTAAGGTGCGTTTGATGTTCAAGGTGCCGTTGGAAATGTTTAACACCTGAATCCTATTGTCTTCCAGCAAACTTATATATGTCCAACATTTCTTATTATGGTTACAGTAACCGATTTCATCTTCCGATCCTTTCAATTTCCAATACAAATCTTGGATTTTACTTGGGGCCTTTTCGATTGCAGCACAATCCAGTGCCTGAATATCACCTTCACCTCTAATGGAACGCTCATGCCGCGTTATGACAGAACCTGAAAAATATGTGTCATAAAAAGTTTGTGAGACTTCCTTAAATTAAAAGGTCTTTGAAAAATTTACTTTGGAATTTTATCTTTGAGAAATTTGATTATTCTGTAATGACAGGATATTAAACAGTCGAAACAGACTCTCAGCTGATATAGCCTAACGTAGAAAACAGCATGGAAAGTGTGCGCGTGAGGTATTTATGCCAAAGTTTGCGATATAGCTTTTCAGTAAAGTTTCAATAAATAAAGTTAGTTATCAGTCGATGCAAATTTGTCTTCTAGTTCACTGGCCAAGAGTCCACCATGTGACCTGCAAATACCTATGTCATCCTACTGTGTTTGGCTGCAAAAAAATATTCCGCTCATGCGTAAATAAACCACTCTTTTCTTCTTCTTGCGATCGCTCTTGCTGAAAATAGCAGATTACTTCCAATCCATAAGTTTTAACAAACAAATTCGGTGATCGAATGATGAAACAATTATTGAACTCGGTTATCGCAATTTATCGTGATTAGTCAGTGTTTCGCCTTCGGCTTCGCTCGCCGTTGACAAATCAGAATAGTTTGTTCAACCTTGTCCAATAATTGCTAATTATTCTTAATTGAGTTATCAGTTACAATGACTGATGTAGAAGTCTCAAACTTCTGTTCCTAATTGTGTTTTAAAATTAGTGTAAGTTTATTTTTCTACGAGGTTGCCTACCCTGGGGCATGTACTGTCAAAACTTGTTTTACTTGATGTTTAATCATACTGAGTTACTTGTTTTGTTTACTGTATTGTAAAGAAATACGTCGATAGAAATAATGTCGAGGTCTCTTCGAGTTCGCTATCACATGGCTACGACCTTTAACCTTTGACCGGAAATGCGCCAGGGAAGGGAGTTTCCCAGATAAACGATACTGTCGGGGAGTTCCTTTCAGTCGAGAATTCATAGAGTCGGCGCGCGAAACATGTAAAACATCATTCTTACCTGATGTGTAATGAGGCAGATTTCCTGTGGGGAGAGCATAAAATGACAATTAAACCAAACCGTGTAACACTTTCACTTTTACAGGCCAACTAATATATTAGTTTGAAAGAATTGCACGGAAGGCCACGGACTTTATGTTTGCGAGTGTTCAAGAAAAGCAACAACGACGTCACATGAACCGTTCCTTATCAATCACTTTATTGCCCCCGAACGCAGGGATTTCGCCCAGAAGGCGAAATCCCGAGGAGGCACACTGACTAGTAACTCGCGCGTATATTAAGGAAAGTACTTACAGTTGAAATATACAGTCATACAGTCAATATAGAAAAAATCTCCATTTGCTTCAACAGGGGCCGCGAGGAATGGGTAGGTCATGATGACGTTTCTATTGTTTGAGCCCGCAAGTACGAAATGGTTAGGATGACGTAAAACACAAAAAATCCCGGAGGAACAGCTTAAAATAGGTAGGTTTTGTGACATTAATTGTGCAGTCATACTTCGATACTCTTTTGCGTTACGTGTTAGCAGTGACATTCTGTGGAGCAGTTGTTATGAAAGTTATGCACCAAAAGACACTAGTTAAGCGCAGATGAAGTTATAAGGTGCGTAGAACAGTGTATATTTTAACACTAAGTGAGTTTGCCAGACACGAGTTCACAAATCTTTCATTGGAAACCTTCAGCTGAACCTTGCCAGACACTCTTTCTCTCTCTTTGACCGGACTAAGACTTGGCCCAAAACAAGCAAGACGAGTGAATGATTCAGCAGCTAGCTTATCACTAGCAGAACGATGGACGATTA